TAACATGGCACTTGCACAAGAGAAGCAAGACATCAATTAGATTCGGAGACGAGTCCAACTCGTCCTGCCGTCATTCCTAGGGCTTGACAACTGTTTGACGGCGTGCACCGCAGCAGCAAAATCTGGTGGCCTCCCCTTTTCAGGGCTGTTCTACGAAAGTCCTGGACGGACAACGAGGGTGGTGGGGGCGGTAACGCCCGGAGTAGTGCTAGCTAGTGAAGCACTTCTCCCCCGCAAGGGGCGACCACCACATCCCCAGCAAGCGCGTTAGCCCATATGCCTTGCTGTCATACATCGCGACCGGCGATGCGTTGGCCCCAAGGATGTTACAGCCAAGCGCCTGCACCCGGCCAGCGGTGCACCAACTGCAGCCAACACTTGGCTCCAGGGCTCTCTGACGTAGTGCCATGCGAACCCCGTCACAGTTGTCAGGGTTGGCGCTTTTGTCTATGCTTTTGTCCAAAGCATCACACAGCAAGCTGCTTGCTTCTGTGGACATCTTGCTGTTGGTCGAAACTGAAGAGCTTCTGTTAGACAGTTCCGACACTCCGAACACTGAGGTGCTATGCCACAGGACACCGCAGGACACCGCAGGACACCGCAGGACACTGAGCTCTACTTGACTTTTCTGGCTGCCACGCATGTAGACCAAACCAACATATGCCCAAAAGAGGATGTAACATGGTGTAAATAGATTGATTGAGGTGTGCCACGACGCGACCACGACCCATTTCGGCCAAGCATCTCTTGCTCTCAACCGTCTCGCCGTGCTTGGGCAAACTGTTGACTGCGGGAATTGCAGACTATAGTGCATTCAACTTCTTCAATGAACGACTCAGCAGAAACTCCAGTGCTTTTCATCTTTTTGACATGTTTCCATGGCAATCTTGCACGCACAGACGGGCAAGCTCCACAGAGTTGGTTTCGAATGTCAAGTGAACTTGCGCAGCTCAGCTTTTTCGGTGCGCACTCTCCACTCCCAGTGGTCGGAAGAGGACTTCCTATGAAGCATAGAGTGTTTGAGAGTGCTGTTGGAGTGCTGCTTGAGATCATGATTGAACAAACACCTGAATATACGAATTCATCAAACAGTCATACTTGAGTCGACACATCGGCATAGATACCAGATATCATCGGATATCTGTATACTCTTGGGAGGTGGCTTTGTTTCGGGGTCTTGTGTCTTGGAAGGTGGTCTGTCGTTCAGCACCGCGCGGTGCGCAGTGCTTCGGGGGGATGGTTCAGATCTTCGACCAACTCACGGCGCGATAGCGGCCGCAAATGGAAAGCTTCACCTACGGAGGGCGAAGCGAAAGCCAATCATAGCCAATCTGTCCGAACGGAGTTGGGGCACGAAAAGAACACCTGTTTGGGTTTCCAGGTTTGCTTAAAGACCTTGCAAGCATCTTTGCTTTTGAAATCTATAGATCTATTAGCCTATTGTCTTCCTTTCTTTCTTCTTTGATGCTTTCTTCATGCCTTTCGTTATCTTTTTGTCTCTCCTTCAGCTTCATGATCTCCTTTTGATCACACCACCAAGACAAAGAACACCGCGCGCGCCCTGCCGAGGCCGCGGTGCGGGCCTCGTAGCGGTCGCCCGGCTCCCCGCGGTCTCGGACATGTGCCAGGGCCGTCCTCGAGGCTCTCAGCTGCAGCTGCGTGCTGCTCTCGGGCACCAGAGCCGTGACCTGGGACGGCTTTGCGACGCGGCGGCAGCGAGGCGAAGGGCGAGGGCGCTGGACGACGTTTCACGACGTCCAACAAGAACAAGGCACTTGTTCCTAGTAGCGATGCACTTGTTCCTAGTAGCGTCCTTGTTCAAGAACAGCATCCAAGCGCTCCGTGCTTGTGCTTGTGCTCCAAGTGCTCCGTGGCAGTTTGATTGCTTCCCCCATGACGGTATAGCTGCTATAGACATGCCAATCACCACATGTTCAGATTGGACCAAAACAAGAATCAAGAAACCGAAAACAAAAAAAAAATGGAACCAGAAAATGATAGCACTGCCAGCACTATCATGCACTGGCTATATCTATTTCGCATCTCAGGGCTCGGCAGCATCCTCGACTGGGACCTTGACCTGCGAAGAAAGACAGGCTGGACGCCAGAGCTCCAACGAGCCAAGACGTTTGGGTCCACTTCGAAACGGGAACGGTCTTGGGTCCATTTGTCGCAAAATAAGATGAACTTCAGATGAAATTGGATTGACATTGGCATGACATGAACACCAAACATACCTAGGTAATCCTCGTGTGTCGAATTTAAGTCGTTTCACAAAACATCAACTATTCCCGCCGTCACTGTTAAAATTTGTTGTTTGGACAAAAAAACGCTCACAGACGAGACCTTGGAATGACCTCCGACCCGCACATCCTCGAATTTCCTCGAATCATTTTCCCTGCACGTGTCCAAACCCCTGCACATGTCCCAATGCGGTGGCGGCAATGCGAGCACTGGTAAGGATCCAACATTCAAGAACAAAAGAGGTATACATAACACCGGAACTTTGATCGATACAAAAACAAGTACAAAGTCCACATCTAATAAGTGTAAGGTGTATTGTGTATAGTCATAACCAATGTGAATGGTCATCATGCTTATGCCTTGCCACCCTTTCTTCTGGAAGCTTTTAGCTTACCAAAATGTCTCTGGAAAAGAATTGCGGCCTTGACCAGGTAGAATTCCAGCACTTTCGAAGTGCAAACACGAATGTCCACTCTTCTTGTTAAACGGCTCATGCGGCCTATAAAGTCCTCATTCTGGCTGCAATCCCAATGGACGGGATTTGCAACCACCAACGCTCCGGAATTGAGTTGATGCCACAACTCATGCACAGTATGAAGATGGAAGTGAAACTTGGGAACTAACGCCCAAAGGCATTGTTGATCTTCCCATGCATGGTCGGCAAGGATCGCATACCCTTTCAAAAATGACGCTCCCACCTCATACAGGTAAGCTCCGCAAGACGGTGAAAGCCAGAGCCCATGCCCGTACACCAGCTTAAACCATCGAACAGCCAGCCGTGCTGAAGAAAGCATCACTTCCACGGTTGGAAGCTGGTTTGGTCCAAGACGATGATCGTTCAGAACCCCCACACAAAGGGAGATAATCCATTCCAAACACAGCAGGCAGTCTGAAGCCTTGCAGTTTATCCAAGGGTAAGACCTGCGACTGTCATAGTTGAAAAGACTTGGACTGAAGGATCTCAAGGCCGCTCGCTTTCCCGTCATGGTTTGCCACATCTTGAAGTGCCCCCAAGCAGCATCCAACTTTTCATGCACCTGGCCACCTACAAGAAAAAATCCAGTCCGGAGGATCCAAAAAATGCAGGAACCTGCGAAGTGCCTGTACAAACCCAGCCTCAAGCAATGGAATTGATCACACTTGTACAGGTACTCAGGTCGCTGACTATCAAAAGGGATCTTCAACTGGTAAGGACGTTTCTGCGGAAGCCATGGACGATCCGTGAACATGCTCCTTGTCCATGTTGCTGTTGGGCCCTGCTCTTCTGCAGGGACGCCAGGCATCCCTGCGTGGCACCAATGGCATTGAGCCAAATCTCTGGTTGAACTCTTGTTCTCGAATCCTCGGGTCAATTTACACACCTTCGAATGCCATTTCAAATCGGCTTTGCAGCCGACAACCACCAACCTCCAGGTTACCCCATCGACAACGAAACCATTGTAGAACAACTCAGAGAGTTGGCTGGACATGAACTCCATGATCTCTGCAAGCAGTTTCTCATAGACCTGCTTGCCTAATGTCCCTGGCAAGACAAAGCAGGGGAAATGCTGTAGAAAGCTATGTCCCTGCATGTTGGATCTCAGGCTCTTGGCAGTGGCGTGGACATCAATGTCACGTTGCTCCTCTGAAAGATTCATGTGAGAAGGTACACATTCATCACACGATGATTTGCCCTTGAGGCCCAGTACTGCTTCCCACGATACAACTGTAGTGTTGGATCTACGCTTTCCTCGACCCTCGTCTCCATGCACAGCAATCGGTATGCACCAGCGGAGCTCGTTCTCGAACAGTCTGTACACCTCGTGAGTGCCGTGAAAATTTCTGTAGGCCTCCCAGTATGCTTCGCATATGGACTCCGCAGCATCAACAGATGGATTTCCCAACAAAACCATTGGATGCTTCTCCATCAAAAACCCAGCAAGCTTCTTGGGATGCATGTAAGTGATTTTCAGAACCTCACCATTGGAGCAAATGTGCTTGAAAATGTCCAGAGGTACCCTCCATCCAACACCCATTCTTCGGATTGCACGCATCGCATCCCTGCTGTGATTGTACTTCTTTTCTGACTTGACTGAATTCTGGAGGTTGCCAAACTCTGCTTGGGCAGCTTCTTTCAGTCTGCTACATGTGGTTGCAGGAACCTGAGCTCCCAAAGAAACATAGAACCCAAAACTGTTTTCAACACCGTGGCCTCGGTAAAACACAACTCAAAGGAAAAGTTGATTTTACAATCTTACAACTATGCAACTCCATCGGCCATTGCCTCTGCAAAGGCCTCCACAAGTGGCCTTTTCCTGGAAACCTGCAAGGAATCATCACCTGGCATTTCCAAAAATGGTAACAGCCTAGGGAACCTTGAAATGAATATCAAAAGCTGCAAGCTTCAATTCATTTGATTTACCTTCAGATTTACCTTCAGAGTTATGCAGGCAGTGTTCTGTTTCCCCGATCATGGAGCCATCTCCAAATAAAGGCAATTGCTCCTAAAAAAGCAATCGCTAACTTGCTAAAGGTTTGCATCTTCGAATTTCAATCGCTCAAAACAGAGCGGTCCTGCAACAAATGCAAAGCCAAAAAATGGCTGGCGGTAAGATCATGAGCCAGTACGACGTTTTTTTGTCTCTGACTCTGTCTTGGCCTTTGCGGCAGCGGCCTTTGCTTTTGCACGGACAGACTGCCGCTTCCGATCACCCTTGCTGGCACTACCCTTGCTCGCAGCTTCACCTTTAGGTGCCACCTGCCTCAGATACGTCTGAAGGGTATGCCACAAACAGCTGGACTTTCATGGATGCCAAATCTCATGCGATCACATTTTGGGGACCTGGCTTCATGCGTACTTCGAGGCTTAGTGCTTCGACTGCCCTTGGTAACGTACAACAGCGAAAACAACAAGGACTATGAATGCACTCTGAGAAGGTGGCATTTTCTTGGCATCATCGAGTAGTTTCTGCAGCTGTTCCTCCGCCCTAAGTATAAAACAAGTTAACACCTTATTGCAACAAAATTGATGACCATACAGACCAAATCTCAGGTGTGCACTGTTTGGTGAACCCGTCAATGATTCCCGTGGTGTATGTCTCATTTAGAGTCTCTTCCTTGGCCCGGAGGTTGGTCATCACATCCTTGATCTTGAGCTGCATCCTCAACACGCTTACCCTAAAGATAGCCCTCCCCTCAAACGCAAAGAACTGTCGCTGATCATAAGAATGTCATAAAAATGCAAACTCTTGTCTGAAAAAAACAAGTTTCTTTCTCTGTAGGTCTGTCAAGGTCTCCACTGCATCAAACTTCTCCAACCCTTGTTCAAGCATCTTAGAACGCTTGGTGATACATGTCCTTAGCCGTTGTTTCTGTAGAAATGTGTGCACACTTCCCTCTAAAAAGCAGGAGCATGCTTTGGTATAATTGTTATTGAATTGATTAGGTGAGGTCAGGAATCAAGATCTTTGGTACTACCGTGCTGGGCAGTGCATCTGGGTCAACTTCTGGAATGCCTGCCCTCTTCCGTGTTTTAGCAGCTTCCTGGGCTGCCTGATCTCTGGCCTCATCTCCAGAGCTGACATCAACGTGAGCCTCCAAGGGGTCATCCTCGTCATTTGAGCCTGAACAGTTTCTAAAAGGTCACACAGTGAGGCAGACGTGCAGAAACAAAAATTTGTAGCATAAAACATGGGTTGTTGTCCAAAATCTCTTCAGTCAGTACTTGATCCTTACCCGATTCATGTGTTATGTTATGTTTTCTGAACCCAACCTGAACCCTCTTGTTCAGCATCATCCTCCAAAGGTGCCTTTCTCTTTGATTCCTTTCTGGTCTGGTTCTTTTCACCCCCCTCGGCTTCAGGAATAACAGCTGTTTTTGGAGGACCACCAACTCTGGCTGGACCATCAAAACAGGAAAGATCTTGCCCTTCCTGTCCATGCTCTTGCCACTGCAGCTTTCGTCTCGTTGAGACTTTGCTGCTCCGCCTCAATCAATGACCAAAACAAAACTATACAAATGTACGTGCCGCAAAGAACTCGACAGTTTCTGAGTAGTTGGCACTCGTCTTGCTTTCACAGAGGTTTCAGCCCAATATAGCATCACCCGTTCGTAGCGGTCCCACCTGCGCAAATGTATCCTCAAAATATATCAACATGGTTACAATCATAAGAATAAAGGTCAGGTAAGTTATGTTTCCCACAGTTCTGAACAAAGCCTCATCAGTTTCTTTGGATCTTCCCGCGCTGCTTTCTTGATTGCAGCCACCCTTTTCCTAAGCCAACCAAAAGATAGACCAAACAAACTCAAGCTACAATGATCAAAACCTCATCTACACCTAGGTGCTCGCTCCAGCCCCAATCTTCGATCATTGACGTTTCCGACAAGTACTCACCCTCTATGATCAGGTCATCCTCCAAACTGTCTTCGCGGAGTAGTTCACATTCCTGGATAAAGCTGTCCTGGCAAAGAAAGGGTATCCTGATTGAAAACAAGGGATGTTGAAAAGTGAAGCACCAGAAAAATAAACAAGTTGTGTTTGGGCCATGGAGTCCTTGCAATATCCACATGACTGGAAGAGCTTGTAAATCTTGTCCCTTGATTTCCCCTTGCTTTGCCACATCTTACAAATAGCATCCGAAACCTTCCTCTTCCCACTTACCTTTGAGGGTTCAAAAACTCTCCGGAGGCGAGCGTTCATGGCCCCGTCGCTGATTCTGATCACTCCTGCGACTGGCCGCTCCGCTTCCTGATTTAAAGCGTCAGGAACATCTGAGTCAAAAACCTCACCATCGATTGTTGTTGGCGATTGACCTTGCCCTGGCTCCACCTTGCCAGGAAACAACTCAGGCCTAGCT